AAGAAGGTTGTGGTTTCAAACCCCGGTTACCCCGGCCTTTTTGTGTGGAGTTTGCGTGGGTTCTCTCGGGGTGCTCCGGCTTCCTCCCACCATCCAAAGACATGCCGACTAGGTTAATTAGTGACCCTAAATTGTCCTTAGGTGTGAGTGTGGGCCTGAGTGGTTGTGGCCCTGCGATGGACTGGGGACCTGTCCAGGGTGTACCCCGCCTTTCGCCCAATGTCAGCTGGGATTGGCTCCAGCCCCCCCGTGACCCTGTGTGCAGGATAAGCAGTTGACGATGGGTGGATGGACGGCCTCGCTTCTTTTACTAAAGTAAATCTGTACGTCTTCTGATTCTTAGTTAGTTACTACAGTAACTAAAAATACTGCAGTATTATTTGTTCATAATGCCAGACATGAATACATCAGGACCGGAATCACATTATCAGTTAAAAATGTGTGACACTGTTATGAAGAAACAGAATAAATGACAGTTAATTTAATAATGTGGTGATGTGATTGCATTTTCTGGCCATCCAGAGGAGCATTTTATTGCATTCTGACACATTATTACACTATACGGCAGAAATCACTTAATTGTTTGTAACAGGGGCAGAGAAAGAGTGACAGCTGACAAAACAAACCCTGGCAGGCTCAAATTTCACTCTCCAGTCCTGCTGTAGAACTTTTTTCCACCCAAACAACTTTATCTAGGAAATAAACAAATCCCACACCCGGTCAGCCTTTCCCTCAGGCATTATTAATAATGAGGTTATTAATATAGGATTCTGGGAATAAAGACTCTCCATGAGAGTGGTGATGAGACTGCAGAAGCAGACCATAGATGAGATTTGCTTTCAGAGAGCTCTCTGTAATGGACACCCACTTTATGAGGAATATGCAAGTCCCTCCATGCAAACTTTCTGTCATGACCTCCAATATAGTCTGCTTTCCCTCTATAAAAAGACAAAATACACTGCTGCAGGCTGTGTTCAGGCATAAAAGATGATGGATAGATGCACTGTGGGGCTGCTGGTGTGCAAATGCTGCATAAAAGTAACTGCAGACAAAGTACTTCAAAAAACCTAAAAGGGGTTATTGCCCTGCAAAACAAAACTTTGTTGTAGTTTTTGGAATAAATCACTCACAGTGAAAGTCAGAGATAAGAGAGGAGTGAGATAATCAGTATGAACGTCCCCAGAAGGCAGAACAGTCAAATTAACAGTGATGGTCAACAAACCTACTGTTCTTTAACAGCATGCATCTGTTTTTATTCTGTATTTATTTTGATTTCTCCAAGCAGAACAGATATCAAACCAGTAATTCCACTCACGTTTGTAGCACTGAATCTGAATGTGTTGGCACATTTGCAAGAGTCCTGTCAAATCAGTTTCTCATGCCAAATAAAAAGTCTCAGTGAATTTTTTCTCTTTAACTTCGAATGAATTGAAAATGGCAACAGTTTTTAGCCATGCTCACAGCGTGGCTCTAAGGATAGCGGTCAGTCCACCACTTTGGTGCAGGCTGAAATATCTCAACAGTTATAAGATGGATTGCCATGAACTGCTGTAGCCTACAGATATACATAGTGGCCAGAAGATGTATCTTACTAAATTTTAGTAAACTCCTGACTTGTCCTGTAGCGCCACCATGAGGTTGCCAGTTTTTTTTTTTTGTGAGATATATCAGCAGCTATTGGATGGATTGACATGAAATTCGGTACAGACATCCATAATGTCCAGAGGATAAATCCTACTGACTTTGGACTGACTTCTGACATCTAGCGCCATCATCAGGTCAAAATTTCACAGTGTACAATACTTTGGTTTATGACAAGACCTGCAAAATTGACTCTCTATGCTATGATGCATGTAGCTCAAAGCAGTGCTGTGCCTACATACACTCTCATAGAGTGGCTAGCATGGCTGTGGACTCTTAGCAGCCCTTTTTAAGGTGCCACACAGTCAAAAATTCACTTACCTTCACTTTACTGGTTAACCCTGTAATATACCCAAATATAGAAAAAAAGATTTCACTTGCCAGATGTTGTTGTATAAGGCCTCTGATGTTGATAATGAAGGATTTTAGAATTTTTTTATGTTTTAGTAAGGTTTGAGGGAAACATTGTAATATTGCAACATTGGGCCTAGTTGGGAGCAGAATTTCAGCATTTGCTCACACTGTCTGAACAAATATATAGAACAACTAAGGGTTTATTTGCAGTGTGGACTGCTTACATAGCACTAAAACAGTAAATATCATGACTAATAATCACCCAATACTCTATAATTTATTTTAAAAAACTGTATAAAATATTATATACAGAACAGAATGAAAAACCTTTACTCCACCGGTGATTCACATGCCCTCTTGGCTGGGACCCCATTTGGTGGACCCCCATTACCTGTGGATGGTCTCTTCTGAGCAGTCTTGATGGTTTGTTGACAGCTGTGTTTGTCTGAATTAGATTAGAATGGAATCAATTGCGATGTCAAAAATACTTTAAAAACAGTATAAACAGTGAAATATTAAATATGATAAACAGCAGAAATGGATCCTGACCAAGATGAGAAAGGATGCTAGTTGCGCTTGGAACAGTCTCCTGTTCAGCATCAAAGTGACACTGGTCCCGGGGCATAGTTGCTTAAGTTGGTTGGCTTGGTTTGGTTGGCTCGATGTCGTCATCATCATCATCACAATACAGTCTGGCTAGCCTATGTGCACTCTACTTAACATTATAAAAGGAATATGCAACCCCCCCGACCTCTTGCATCCCCACATTCCCGAACATTCACACCTGTCCCTGAACAATGCACCATGCATGCAACCCCCCACATTTCAGAACGTTTGTGCTGGTCCTTGAACAACCATCCTCCAAACTACTCCACAAACAACACATGTGCCTTGCAAAACAAGCAGATATTTGGGCAAACAAACTAAGCCCAGATAATAAACAATAAACTATATTTTACTGCTAACATACAGGAACATTTTCAAATACTGTTACTGAAATAACGTTATTTCTGCAACCAGAAATAATTTATTCATAACAATACAAATCTGGTCAAAAATTAAAATTGACCATGTAATGTGGAAGGTGCACATGCTATTTTGACTACCATTCTCACCCAACGTTGTAAAATTACAACAAAGACATAACAAGCTGAAAATCTAATTTGATGCATGCATTCCACAATAACTTAGTATTTACACAAACGAGACATTCTAACAATCACAAAAAAATGTTTCATGGGTTTTACTCTTTACTTTAATGTTTATATCTCCAGTCCAATGAAACAAGAAGATGTGCTTCCAGGAAAGTTTGCAGGTCGTATGAGTTCATGGCATCACACAATTTAAAAAAAGTATCCAGTGGCATTGCAAGGCTAAACAATAGGACCCATTGGCTATGTTAATGTGGTCTTTGAAAAAAAACACATTTGCAGATGTATTTTTTGGAGAGCTAAAAGTGATGTTGGAATTTTACAACCATGGGTCTTAAAGACCACACTGAGCTTTGCATTAGTAAAATGGGGGAAAAAGGTGGCACTGCTAAAATTTGGTCTAATGTAATATGTATTTTAAGACGTTTCTGTTCAGAACGGCAAAGTCTGGGAGGAGGGAATGGAAATGCAAAAACCTCTGCGCCTGTTTTAAAAAGCAAAGTCAGAGTGTAAAGCAGGAGAAAAATCTGCTGTATTGTTTTATCAGACACACATGGAAGGAGAGTGAGAGAGACAGACAGAGTGGGATGCAAATCACTGGAGCGATCTACTCAGCACCACAACACAAGACATACACGGCTTTACCTTATTTTTTCGATATGACTGAAGCACCCGTCAGTACTTATTAAGTATTAATAATATTATTTTTTTCTGTTTTTCAATCAAACAGGTTTCAAAGTCCACTGATTTCTCATGACCCATTCATTCACTGATTTTTTTGTCAAGGTGATAAACATCACACAGTATTTCCTCACATACAGTATATTCCATTATATCCCTGGCTTCTCTATAAACAGTATTCCAAGTTCAGCAGGAGGAAACACTTTTTATGCACTCAACACAAAACAGCCGGCATCAGGTCTCTTTAGTGTCACTTAAAGCGAATCAGATGACCTGCAGCTGGGCTGCTTTACATCTTAAGGAAATAACATGCTAAATTGAAACACAATTTAGCACCATGCTTAGTAAACATCCCCCTTTTGTTTAAATTGATAACCCTGGTTTGTCTTCAGTGCAGCCTTCACGCAGAGAAAAAATTGTGAGAAAAAAAAGAACATTGTCAGCTTTGTTAAAGGTGCCTTTTTGCACGTTTCGTTTTTTACTGTCATTTCAAAAACATTTTCCAATCAAGCGAGATGAGATGTTCTTATCTGCACACACACATAAGGTGAGGATGATTCAATCACTGCCATGAAAGTTACAAGGGTGAGGGCAGTTATCTTACTTCATTATAAAACTGGTGTTGACTTTTCCTTAAATTTGTCTCCTCGGTGAGTATATTTGCCTTAATTTGAATACGTTCTGTATCATGAAAGCACAAAGCCTGATAATAATAACCTTCGTCCATTCAACATCCAGAGGTCATGTTCCCCCTGAGCCTCCAGCAGGTGTATATCGCTTTCTTATCATGCAATGCTTGGCCCTTGTGGAGATTATATTTACTCTGTGCTGCCGTAAGCACCTTTCCTGACAGATTATATGAATTAAGGCCTTATTATGGGCTTTGGCCAGGAGCTGCATGTACCAGTGATTTGTAATAAGGGCAGCGCTGAGGTGAGTCAGCAGTGACTGGCCTGATTACAGCAGCTGGACCTCAGGAGGAAAACCCTTGGCTCATCCATGGTAAACAAAGGACACTCCATTAGCTCCTTTGTACTTGTAGGTAGGAACACTATGGTAAAACCTTAAGTTTAGAAGGATGAGAGCCGAAAATGTAAACCAAGCCACATGAAATAATCTGTGAGATGTTGCAAAAAGAGAAAACACAGAGGAGCCAGTGTGTTAATCAATATTTTTTATATTCTTTTGTAGCAAAATGTTTTCACACATAAATGTTTTTTTCTCCTTGTTTTTGACCTAGAACCTCAGGTGAGAATCATGACTACATCGAGTCAAGTACACACTTAAATTGTATTCGTAGTTAGCAGAGTGGAAATGGATGTTACATGATGTCACAAGCAGAGAAAGCAGGTTAAAGGGTCAGTTCACCCAAACGACAAAAAACATTTTCTCGTGGATCTCATGCAGAAAAAGGGCTTTATTTATGCAGGTTTGTTGAGATTTCTGCCTCTACCCAAATACAGCAGAGGTGAATGGGATTTTGTTTTGTTTGGCCAGATAGCTCAAAATTTATATTAAAAAGCCTCAGTGAAACAATTTGCTGTCAGGAATAACTGTGGTGAGGCTTCATTTCACATGGGTCCATTATTTCCCAGTAATTTTCTAGGAGGTTCCTAGAAGAACATGTAATTTGGCACTAATTACAGGAAAAACATAGACAAAGTTCTTAGTCGTAAGAGTTGTTGATTTCCAAAGGAATTTCTTTTACATCACTGTTCCATTTAAACACAAGTCAGTATTCACTGGGTTACAAAAATGTATTCTCCATGTTGGTTTCCCTTTAGACAAATTTCACACTGTCATACACATTTTGTATTTACTGCAGCAGAACTGTGCACTGTATGTAGGAAACACCCATGTTGGTGGGAATGAAAGAACATTTCACCTGTTTGTATTTCTTGACACCAATAGAGCTTCATGAAACAGAGAAATTAGAAATATTTATCCCCATAAAGAATGGATATGCCCAGAGATATTAATAGCTATTATGATATAAATGTTACTCTAACCTAACTGTATTGAGGAAGAGGTAGGCATCTCACTGAAGAACATCTTAAAACCCGGGCAAGTTAAGCCAAGAGTAGCAACATGGCTAGATGCCACTATAAGTAAGTCAGAAAATATGTATTTTTATTATTTGGTTGGACTGATCCAAAACTGCCAGTCCTTCTTGTAGTATCATGTAATAACCCATTTCAGTGAGCCAACAAACAATGACCAAGTTGGTACACCACAGTAAAGCACCTTCTCACTGTTTGCTTCACATAAAAATAAAAGTACTACTGCACGATATCCCCCCCTTTACATTCTCACCCAGTTATTGTACAAAAAAAATGCCAATATACAGAACGTTACACCCAAGGAAGAAAACAATAATAAAAAAATGATGACCACCCCACATCTTGAAATGCAGCAGAGACCCACAAGATATTGAGAAAGGCATTAAAATGTGTAGGGATGTGTCCGTTGATCGTAGGCAGTAATCTGAACAGCCCCTAATTCAGTTATCTTACTGCAATGTACAGCTCTGTATGAAAGTGAATGAAAGATAAATGGTTCCTTTGATGAAACAATTCCAATATTACATGAACCAACAAAGGTTCTGTATCATGCAATCTGGAGTTTTCAGCAGTTTGGCCCTTGCCATTCTCTTCACTTAACATCCTCTCCTAAGAAGCATAATAAGCTTAATCAAGGTAAGAGACTTCAATTTGGACTCATTCTGCCATTTAAACCGGCTAAATGAGTAATGGTCGTCCTCTCTTGTTTGTGTTACCTAAAGAGAATTATAGCCGGATAATATATCCTGCTGTGGGTTTAAGCAAATGATTAAGCGGACTTGATGGATTTAAAAGACTATTCCTGTCTGGCAACTGTAATATGTGCTGTAACATGTGATGATAGCATCTGAAACCATACCTCAAGGCATACACTCCTCCAGGGATCACCAGCGTTAACCAACGGAGAGTGTCAAAGAATTTTTTGTTACATCAGGAATTCAACCTGAGCTGGAAACATACTAAAATTGATTGGTTGGAGACTTAATAATTATTTGAAGCATTTCCAATCAAGGAAAGGACTTTTTGTTCCGAGCTGTTTGTTATCCATCTTGTGCATTTGGTTTTGTTGTATTTCCATTTGCTTTCAAATATAAATAACCTCATATGATACATTACCTGAGGTAGAAATACAAGACTGGCTTGTTGTGGTTCAGTGTCACCGACATCTAGAGCATTGGAGCATCCTCTTATTTGAAAATAAGTCATGTTTTCAATTTGTGACTGATTGTAATTTGACTGAAAGTACCATTGGATGACGTAAAACAGCTGTATATAACTTCTGTGTTGTTTTTTTTGATCACTGACAATTATAACCTCATCAAAGAACTATGCCTCTGTCTGCTGATGACGTCAAATGAAAATGAACATAAAAATGACTTTGTTTTAATTTTCTCTTCACTCCTCTTGTCCTTCTTTCTACTGTTGCAGTAGTCCCATTTCATGCTGACGGTCCAAGACATTGTGATGCACATCCAGTTCACCACAGTCGAGGCAAATCCTCTTGGTATTCAGTTCTTTTGATAATAACGTAGTAAATCCAATTTGAATTTCTCATCTATCTTCCCACCCCCCCTTTCTCTCAGAGATACTCTCACGTGCCCTGTGGATAAGGAATTATTCCATCTGCACAATCCAAGATTCCATGTTGTTTTAAATGGGAACAATATTTCAGATACAGTTAGACATGGTCAGAGACTTGAGATCATGGCCATAAATCTATTGATTTGAGTGTCTTTTCTCACATAATTACTTAGACAGTATTCACATGGATGAACTTCATGCAATACCCAAAGCCAGATTCCCTCTGGAACGTCCCTGCCCCTACACTCATGTTCCTTTAGTTCCTGATATAGATTTATTGTTTGGCCATGGACCTCACAGTTAGACCGACTGCACTCAAACTGTGCTTTCCATCACCCACTCAGAGCTCTCAAAAGTGGGCTTCTCATCCTCACTGTCATCATACTGCAGCAGCATGCCATTAACAGACAGACTGCGCTTAGTCCAGATGTTACTGATCCTGCGAGGGTAGCTACTGCGACACTGTGTGGCCCCCACATGACCCATGTCAAACGAGTGGCTCCTCTTGGGCTTGCCCTCCTGTGGCAGCCCTAGGAGACGTCCAAGCATGGTGGTGGACTCAGCCCTCCCGAGCAGGGGTTCTTTATCGGACGGGGGTGCCTTAGCCACTGATATCATAGCATTGGAGGTGGTGGAGGGGCCAGAAGCCCCTTGGTGGTCCCTCGCTACCCCTCGCAGTTCCAGTGAGGTGAAGGCCCCTAAAAGGTGGTCCAGGTTTGGCCGTGCTTTGGCGCTGTGTCCGTGCCTCCTGAACTTGCTGGGCAGGGTGCTGCATTCACTGCCCTGCATGCTGTAGCGGTCGCCAGCCCCCCTTCCTGTTTGGCTGTCTAATGAGTTAGAAGAAGATGAGGATGAAGAGAGACTACTCTGGAGGGATCCACACTTGAACTCTACCATTTCCTCACGCATGACCACCACGGTGGATTTGACCTGTGGCGGGGCACCGTTGAACCTGTTCAACCCTCCATTGGTCTGTGAGTATGTGTTGCTCACAGTGGGTAATTTATTAGTCTGGATGCCACTAGTCACCTTATACCGCACCATGAGGATGATGATGAATACCAATAGCGTGGCCACAATGATGCCACCTATGACCAGGATCATGGTGCCGCCTAGGAAGCCACTGTGAAGAGACTGGCACTGCGGGTAGTCTTCCCTGGTGATGAACTGGACACAGCCGACAATGTTGGTGGCAGTGAGGGTGGTGGCAATGTCTTCCCAAATGGCCAAGACACAGAGGTCATACTGCATCCCTGGGACAAGATTTGTGACTATGAAGGCTCTGTTGGTCATGGGAATCATCCTGAAAAGAGGTAGAGAGACAGAGAGACACTGCATTAAAAATCCAGACCTATTGCTATGGGAGTTCAAGACAAGGGTAGAGAGCTTTAGTGTTAACTCTGGCTTAGTCTGTTATGCTGGGGCAGATCAAAGAAATAGCCAAAATGAAGCATGCTAAGTAGCTATTTATATGCACAGAGTAATTCAGAAAGATGACATTATTGGTCCCAGTATATCCCATTTGATATGCATGAAGAAATAGTAATGAGATAAGTATTCAATGGCCAATTTTTAAATATTATTTTGGCTAAATGTAATTTCTTGTACATTCCATTTATCATACATTCAGTTGTTTCAACTTGCTCTGTTATAATTCCAGATATTAATATCTATATACCGGTTATACCGCGTACCTACGGTATAACCAATGCATATATATACGGCAGCGTGATGACAGATGCAACACCATAGCATGTAGCAAGTAACTACAAATCAGCACAGGATGGTTTTGTTTTCTTGTTGCAGTGGTGAAATCAACTGGTGAAATTCAACACTCATCTAAAAATCTAAATCCACAATATACCATATGTATCTACGGCAGGACTTGCTTTAAGCCCTTACATCAACTATGAATCCAGCTTTAACCAATAGTTTTAATTGCCAATGCAAAGAAATACCTAACCTTAAAGGCTAAATGAGTATTTGTGAGTTGCTGTTTGTAAACACACAATTCAAAGTTGCCCCCCCTGCCCTTAGCGAGAGAGAGTGAAATTTTATTGAGTGAGCTAGAAAGTCAATGATAAGAAGGAATGCTGTTTGCAACAACAAAGCAGTGAATCAGATAAATAAAACATTATTTTCTGACGGTGATTACCTCTAAAACAAAAATAAACACGACCACCCCTCTCCACAACCCTGCAGGACGGCGCTGCATTGCCGGACTCTATGTGAAAGCAGCTGAAGCCATGCTTCATTCTATCTGCTAGCTTCTGCTCTGCATGTGTGTGTAGCTCAGCCCCGCCCCTCCATCAAACAGACACACAGACCTGCAGCTCTTTCTACATCTCACATAGTCACACTCCCTTTTAGCGTTGTGCCAGCACTGGAGATACATCCATGACTCATCCATGACACATCCATGGCACCCTTTTCTGGCAACGAGGTTGCATTAGTTATCCTTTGATTAGACATGCTAATATTTTAGAAAATCTTCCCTCAACAGTAATCCACTAAATACTATATATCAGTCATTCACGACCAGAGATACTTGTACCCCAGGGGGTAGCAGAGAAGTTGAACTAGAAAACAAAAGTTAATAAAAAAAATAGATTCAGTGTATATGCCACGGCAAGTGGTAGTATTGCTAAGATCACTATTTCTTGTATGATAAAGTAATTTTTTCCATATCCACTTTTATATTATTAATAGTGTTAAATAAACTAAAAACACATATTTAGAATATGGCAGACAGTATCAGTTAATTCAGTGACAAGGTAGGGAACCACCACTATCTATACACTTAAGCTATAAAACATGGTGTAACAATCATTGACTATTAGAAACTGCATTCCATATGGGTAGAAAATGGTCCTTGAAGGGTCTATATTCGTATAGTCATCTATAAATAGATTCCTCAGTCACTGTTGGCTTGCATTTATCCTAGAGTACATGCATCCAAAGCTTTGATCCCTCTGAAGCGCCTCCACCACAGTGTCCAGACACCAGCAGCGGGGCTGCAGTCCATTATTCATCCATAATTGCCTTTTCCCATAACTAGGAAGAAGCTGTTGGCTCACGTGTTTGAGAAAACTAAAGCAATGCAATCTTTCTCTTCCCCCACGTGGCTCCGATTGATTTTTAATCGTGCTAATGCTTGAGTGCAGGCAGTGCCCTGGGAAACTGTGTCGGCCAACGGGAGAAGCGCGGTAGGTGTACATGTGCGAGTAATGAACACATATCGATATTAATTCAAACACAGCAGTTGGCGTCTGTGGGCTTTATCTTTTTTCCTTCTAGCTCCTAATTTGTCTTCTGACATGCAAAAGGACTGCACATCCATTATTTTATTAGAGTATATAAATCTATTCAAGGTCATTTTTCTGCTGTATATAAACCACATACTGTAGTTATCCAAGGAAGGTTAAATAAGCACCAACTGGACTTGGCTGAAGATACTTGAAGACGTTACGCCTCTCATCCAAGAGGCGTCCTCAGTTCATGGCCTCATGGAAAGTTGAAGTCCAGTTGAACTTGATTTAATCTTCATTGGATAACTAATGTGTGGATGACACAGACATTCTACATACTGTAGTGTACTAATTATAAAGCATCAAATCACATAACAAGGGCAATTTGAAAGTTAGCACTTATCTTCAGCAAGTGTGGTCAAACTGAGAAAATCACCATAATATATAGGCTATTATCTAAATGAGAAATTAACAAAATAATGGGCATGTTTAAATGTAAAAATATGCTGTAGTGATTGTTAGTAATGATTATTGAATTTTTTATTTATTTAACAGTATCTGGAATGCCATTATAATTTTCAGGCAAATAATTTAGCTGCTGCAAATCAATTAATGAGGAGAAAAAATGCAGTTTATAAAGCACACATTAGTGTCATGTTTGCAATTTTGAAGACATTAGAGAACAAATTATAAAAGGCATTTACAAGAACTGCAGATGAGTCATCCACTGTTTCCATCACCGGGGGAAAAAAGGTACTGAAAATACATATTGTTCTCTCTCCTCTGGCATGGCAAACTGGCACACAGCACGCAAGCGAGGAAATCAGATAAACACCATGTTATTGAATTCACAGGGATGGGGAGTTGCATTCACAGTGTTTGAACAAAGTATCTTCAGTATTGTGTACAGTTCTAGTCTCATATTCTGAGCTAATAACCAGACTTTTTGATTTCCCATATTCTGTCAATTACCTCTCATTAAACAGCTGTTTGCTGGAATGTACAGCAGAGGTAAATTGTGCAGAACTAAGGCACAGCATCAATTATTGGATGAGGTGTTGCTAAAGGGATTCACCATCATTGTCCGTGTTGGAGGAAACATGAAGCTGACACAAATGTGCTACTTTACCAATTTTCATAGAATTCTGATACCGTAAATATCATCTTTATCCAAGGGGTAGTAATTTTTTGATTCTGTGGTTGTGTATATGAGCACTCAGCCACTGGAGCCCAAGGGGATACCGAACACTCATACAGGATTCATAAAATAATTATCTTTATGTTTGTTTGTAGAGCACAGCCTAGTATATCTGGTATTTTTTAACGTCTTCCCCAAATTGATTTAATGTTAAAACAGCAATGCTCTTCCAGCTCAATTATCTTGGTTGAATGTCACTACTTTCACTGTCTCATTTGACAGGAAATTGATTTCACAGAGCCCTAGATCTACAGCTACAGTCTCCAAGCTTACACTTTATGTACTTGAGCAGCTTAGGAAGGATACGTTAAAATGAGGGTCTATAATCCTCTTCTTCTTGAATTTCTAATTAATGGTTCAGGGCAAGGATTTCACTTTGGATTTCCTTTTTCCGAAAGATGTGCACTTGAGGTTCATTGTTTTGGTGAAGGCAATTGCAAATTCAAGGAAAAAATGAAATAAATCTCAAGAAGGATTAAGGAAAATTCATGTTGATCTCTGAGTAACACTTCAAAGAAACTGACTGTTTCAAATAACCACCCATCAAACAATTAGCAAAAGACTCCAGAGAGGCCTCTGCTACTGCTTATGTAATGTGTATTCCAGTTTCCTGCATCATTCTTACCTGTAAATGAGGACTTCATCTTCAGAGCAGTTGTACTGGAGCTGATACATTTTGACCTTTGGAGTTGATTTGGTAACTGTCCACTTGACCAGAGCAGAGACGGCGGTCACTTCTGATACAGACACCACCTTCTCCGGCAGAGGTTTAGGCTCCCCTTTACTGATCTTGGTGGAGCTAGTTATGTCCGAAAGCCCTGACTTGGACTGTGTGGTACGGTTTGTACCATTACTCAGATGGGGGAGTTGAATGATTGAAAGCTCAATCGAGGCCGTTGATTCCCCAGCAGCGTTGGCAGCTATGCAAGTAAAGGTCCCGTAATCCTTGGATGTGGTCACTGTAATGTCCAAGGTGCCATTTTCGTATACTGTTGCTCGGGAGGAATTGCTGATCAAACGGTCATCAGGAGCAACCCAGTGCACAGTTGGCATCGGATCGCCGACTGCTTTGCAGCGCAGGCTAGCAGTTTGGCCCTCCAGCACTAGTAGCTTGTGTGTATGTTGCGTGATTAGGGGCGGCTCACAGACAAACTCCTCCTCGCGAACAGACCAAAAGTATCGCCCCTTTACACTGGCAGGAGAAGCGCATGTTTCCATATCATCCTCACGCTCCAGCCTTCGAAGCCACAGCACTTCGCAGTTGCAGTGCAATGGATTTCCACCAAAGCTTAGAGAAAGCGGAGGTGCGTAAGGAGTGCTCATCACTACATTGCTTTGGGAGCGCGCAAAGATGGGGTCCGGTGGAAGCTTCTGGAGACGGTTGGAGGTGAGGTCCAAGCGGGCCAGTTTATCCAGATCTGTAAAAGTCCCCTCTGCAATGAAGGAGATGAGGTTATGATCCAGACTCATCTGATGGAGGTTGACCATCTTGCGGATGGCTTCCCAAGGCACACTGCGCAAGTTGTTATATGACAAATCCAGATCCTCGAGTGTCAGTAACAAGTCGTCAAAGGTTGCTTTGGAGATCTGACTCAGCTGATTGTTGTTGAGGATCAGGTGCTGCAGGTTGACCAGCCCTCGGAGATCGTCTGGTCCCAGCTCAGTCAACCGGTTACTGTCAAGGTGCAGGGATCTCAGGGTCTCCAGGTCAATGAAAGAGAAAGGCTGGATGGCGCTGATGGTGTTGCGGGACAAGGTGAGATCTACCAGACCTGTCATGTTGGCAAAGTCCTGAGTGGTGATCTTGAGGATGAAGTTGCCTCCCAACCGTAGCTCCACAGTTCGCCGGTCGATGTCCAGGGGGACGAAGAGCAGGCCTTTGGAGGGGCACAGAGTCCCCAGAGACTCTGAGAGGTTCTGGCAGACACAGTATTTGGGACATGCATGGACCATCGTAACTGCGGTTCCCAGAAGCAGGAGACTGATGACCACTTTGTCCATGTTAATTTATACAAAGTGGACCTGCGAAAACAAAAGAAAAGAACAGTTCAATTTGATTTTTCACTTGTTTAGTGAAATGTAATCATTACAATAAAATAATCCTCACATCCAGATACATTTTCACTTACTCAGATGCAAAACATAAGAAACAGTTGTTATTGTGTGTGTGTATGTGTGTGTGTGTGTGTGTGTGTGTGTGTGTAATAGCACCCATTAACAGGTCAGATAAAATATTACCATGTAGGCAAAATTGCTCACTTGATGAGCTGGTCTGATTGTCATCCTTGAGGAAGATATCATTAATATTCTCCATTGTAATATTCATATCTATGTCTTTTGCAATGCAAAGGAGGTGTGAGGAATCAGATGAAGATTCTCTAAATGAAGCCCGGGATTAAACAGTGCTAAGAAGCTATTTTTAATGACGCACATGCTTATACAGTAAGCTGTCATTACAGATATACGGTTATGCATGCAGCAGGAACTAATTCAAGTGTAGGGCACATGCATGTATATGCATTGAGCAATGAGTAAGCTTTTCATTGGAATGCTGCATCATCTTGCCAATGTAAATGTGGAAAAGGAGTAGGATTGAAGGTCCGGTCTGCATGTTAACTGACAGTGTCTTCCTCTTTGTGGATGACTTTATCATTTTGTCATATTTGTTCCATTTCCCCATCATGTATACAGGTTTGGCAAATGATAATGCAGTCTGGAAAATATATTTCACAAGTGACAGGTGTTAGACTCATCAGAGTTGGCTGATAAATTCAGCACGCAACTGTGAACGTCTTAACAGCCCTCACACCTGGCTGACTCCTCCAAATGGATGGCCACACTTGGCTTCATCCAACTAGCTTTTAATTCCCCCAGACAATTATATCATTAATTCCTAATACACTCAAAACCTAAAAATCTATTTCAATCATGTCTTTTTTTTACACCAGCAATATTTATTAATGGAAACCAGCCTTCTAGTCTGCATGGCTCTCAGGAGAACCATGGGGAAGGACAGATGTAATGTTTTTATGTTAACCACATGTTTGTGCTATCATTCATTCGTTATAAGTGTGTGAGACGCTGGTCGAAGCATGAGGACTCCTTATCTTCCACTACCCTGTAACACCCCTTTTTGTGTAGACTCAGTCTTTCAATAATTCATAATTAGAAGAGGCAATATGCATAAATAACCCCTCTACTTTTCGATACTAGTTTGTAATTATATCTTGAAGTGCCACTGCATCTGGACAGTGTGTTACACAGAGATAATTAGAATTAAATGGCAGGCAGAAAGAAAAGAAAGTCATTTATGGTGAATCTTCAATGATCATTAAAACCGAAGAAATTAGTCAGAAACAGTGGAGGAATTGACATTTTCACAAACATCATGTTCATGGAATGAGTTATATTTATACTGGGACCAAATGCTATTGACCAGCGGTTCCCAAACTTTTTAGGAAACGCACCCCCTCCTACATCTTGACCAGGCTGCTGCATCCCCAAACCCCCCCCTCTCTAGGTTTGCTTACAATTACATACACATGTGTGTGTATATATATATATATTATAAGTATTATTTATTTTTTTTTTTACTTATTTATTTGTTCAATGTCCTGCCCACAGCACATGATTGGTTACACGTCGCAAATAATAGCCTATCAACACTTTGTTGTGAGCAGTGGAGCTGTGTGTTGAAGAGAAGGCAGCCGACATCACTGAAAGTGCAATAAACATCAAAATCTGATGATCTGTTTCTATGATGACAAGCAGCGCGGTTTCCCTGTTACACTAATGAACATGCCCGAAGTCACAGCTATGGGGTTTCACTCATTGACACTCTTGAAAGATCTTGATGTAACATTATTTATTACTTTAAAGAGTAACAGTGGCAGTAAAAGGTTTTCTCATACTTTGATGGTTAAACTTTGCAATCAATCCACAGTTCACCAGCGTGCTGAACTGTGTGGAGGGAGGTGGGGGGTATTTTCATGACAAAAAAAAAACGCTTCAAAACATTCCATCCGCTATCACACCCTGTGTAGAGCCTCATAAACAGATAACATGGACTAAATGAGGATTCATTTGAGGATTTGTTAGTTCCGTGTGGGTGACTCAGTCTGAGAGAGGGAGAGGGAAAGACGTGTGTGAATAGCCATTACCTGTGACCTTAACTATTAATAATAACATTTTTAGTTTTAAATTAAACTTAGAAAGGAAAGTTTTCAAATAAAGTTTTTATTTCGTGAAAAATTCCACAAAAAAATTATTGGTGTTGTTTTACACTACTACAGTACCATTAAATTTTTCCTGTCGCGCACCCCCTAGAGGCAGCTCACGAATCCTCAGGGGTGCGTGCACCACACTTGCTCGCTGCTATAGACTATTGAAAGTACCATATTTAGCCTTTTAATACCGTAGAAATGCAATAAATATCGAAAAAATGTTTAAAAAGGAACAACTTTAAAGCAACACTAAAACAGCGGCCCCTGTGGCCACAAGCAGTAGTTACAAGATAATGATATATACTTAAACGTAGTGTAACAGTAGCTTAAGTAAAGTGGAGTGGTGTAGTCAGCAAACTTGCTTCAACGATTTCAGTTACACAGCAATATCTGTCTAGAAAGTTTGCTAACTCTAGCAAACGTTAGCCAGCATAAACTACTGGTCACTCTTCACAAAAAAAGGGAAGGGCAAGGTTGTATTTTACTGCTTACAAGCTTTGAAACAGGAATTTTCCCTCTATTTTCAACCCCACTTAGCGTTGGCTAGCAGTCTTTAGGAATTTAAGCTGTCTGTCCTTTTACAACATTCAGTGTTTTGGATGACTCATTGTGCTGTGTATTGAAAAGTTAGATAATTGTTGTGATGGCACATGACTAGCCTGTCAAAACTTAGAGGCATGAGTTGAAATCTCAACAGTCTTTACATTACAGTGATTCGAATCACAAGACGGACCGGCATCCAGAGTAAGGAGAGCTGAAATCACACATGGGATGCTAAACAATGTTACAAAAAACATTTTAGTGAACAACGGTGTGGATTTGTGCATTTTACATTGAATAAATTTGGAGCTACTCTAAATTCCTTTCTCCTCCCCAGAGAAGAAGGGGAGGGGTCAAAGTTGCTTTCTCTAAGTGCTATCCCAACCATAAAACTGGCACCTTTTTGATTCCGAAGCTGACTGCTGACTGTTAAACTGACAAAGGGACACGAACCAGCCATTGGCCTCTCCCTGAATAGCCTATCAAAACTGGCCCCCCACACATGTTTCCGTGGCAACTGACCTTATTCTTTGTTTTATTACCACATCAAAGGGATACTCCTTGTCTCACCTAGGAGTGACACAATCCAGGACAGCCGAACTTTGGATGACAAAGGACTGCAGTCTCCAAAGACTCAAAGCATTTAATTAAGTTTAATTAAATCTTTAGTTACCTGATTACGTTTGCCTCTATTTGAGTAGTTATGTTGTTGCTATCTGTTGATGATATTAGTGCTGAAAAGAAAGTTACTTGTGCAGTGTTTTTATTTTCAGCAAGACACTCCTTCATCTAATGTAATCCAAGCTTTCCTCATGTAACCTGAGCTCCCCCAAGTGGACGAAATAAGTTCTACATGCCCTCGTCGGAAATGCCGTTAAATGTATAAATATCCTGACCAATAATGTGACAATTGTTTCCTGTTACCAAATGCCTAGAACAGTACAACCGTTTCACCGTTGAGGTTTGATTGTGGAAAATATTTGATTATAATACGCGCAAATAGATTTCTTTTTAGACTTTAAGTTTAGAAAGTCAGTCCCTTGGGAAACCTGAGACGCCCCCTGGGGAACCACACCCCAGGCAACAAAAGAGCGACACGCGACCTCGCGCTCTTCTCTTCGCTGTTGGCTCTCTTCCACTCTGCTCTGCTCACTGGACGCTTCGGCATGCGTTTGGTGTGCCTCGCCAGGCAACGCCCTCAGGGTCGACCAGCGAGACCGGCCTTTTGTTCGAATGAAGATACACACCTGAAGTGCCGCGACATCAATCTGCCTTCAGTTTGTTTTATTTTCTTTATTTCTTTTGTTTGTTAAAGTTATCAGTCTGTTAAGTTAAACTGGACTAATTCAGGAACGACCAAGTTCCATTTTAAGCCTTTTTCGTCGAGCCAACGTGGGACCCGTGCAACAGGCCAAAAGCAGGCTGTCGACAAGCAGTAAGACTTAACACACGTTCTGTGATCAGATGTCCATTTTAACTCCTAAATTATAGCATTAGTTTACTTTCATTAGCTCTTCTATGCCGTATGAGTCAAATGCTTCCCACAACCGAACCTCCAGGCTCAGTGTTCAGCAAATGTTTATGTTCCCTGTATCCAACCATCTTTTTATCACCTTAGTTAGAGAATAAATTCACTGTAATATAATCAAGAGCTGTGTGTGTTGCCTATTTCTAGTTCCTGCCAAGAGAACTGACCCTTTAGATATGAGACTGACTGACTGATTTAAGATAATTGAGCAATTATTAACTAACTGATCACTAGTAATAATTGTATAATTATTCAAAACTACCTAGAGGTCCGGAGACTCTAGGATTATAACAACTCCGGTGGTGCCCTTAACGAGGAACATTTTTATTTTATGAATATTAAAATTCATAATTGGGTATCAATTCTCATAAATTTATTAAATTGCGTGACTAAAATTTAGGTCTGCTACAACATAAACATAAAACAAACCATTTTTATGTCCGCCCACACAGCCGATACACCAGTCAAATTGCAGTGCTGATATTGTTGGTATTGTTAAGTTGCAGTCTGTACCAAAAACTCAATTGATCTGCAGAACACTAATATTGGGGGTGTTGTCACTTCAGAAAAATAAGAATGTAAATTATATATGCTTTTTGGTAATTACAATTTAGAACAAAAAAGCACACAAATAAAAAAAAACAAACAGAAAAACTGAAAGCTACCTTCATTCCACTCATACCACCTTTTTACTCAGCTGTCATGTTTCTGAGCATCCCGTTATTATTAGA